TCGAAAAAGTGGTCGACTATTAAATATATCGAAAGAGTGGTCGACTATCGATTAATTTAAAATTTCAACAAATTATGTATTTAAAACTTCATACTTTTAATATAAAAGAATTTTTAATTTGCAATAAAATAAAGTGCTTTAATTAATTAGAACATAAAATATGTAAGTAGGATCAAAAGTGTTTTTATTATGAAATTACAACTTATATATACATACAATAAAAAGATATCGTAGAGTATATTGAATAATTCATTTCAAATATACATCAATTTTCTTTACATCAATATTTACACTAATATCATCATCATTTTTATTTTTTAAATGAATCTTATTTAAAAGTTTTATAAGTTTTATAGTATAAAACATATCAGATCAAATAAAAAACAAAACTTTTGTAACTTTATTTTATTTTGCTATAGGTGGCAAAATAATGTATGTATCTGCTTAATTAATTTAGGCAACACAAACAGCAGGTAAAACGGATAATTTGTCTATTCGTTACGTGATTCCGGACGTGATAACACGTTGAAGGATAGAATGGGACCCTCGAATGGGTCGAGTTTATATGACGAAGAAGCAGGACTTTCAGTTTCTTTTAGGCGTTCGCGAGTGGAACATCGTGAGTGTAACGGTCACGCTGGCACGCGCGTGAAAGTTTTGTATTCCGAGCGCCCAGCCTCCTCTATGCACAAAGTTTATTGACGCAGGAAGAAGATTGAAACAGATACTTAAAAGCGTATGTAGATTTTCGAAAGCAATGAATAATTTAAAATTCAATTTTTATTCAATGATTTTATAATTACTATTACAATTGTAATTCTCAGTTAGTTACTTTTTTATACATCTTCTACTTTATATCAACATACATATTCTTCTTCTTAGTTGTTCTTAGTTTTTCAGGTAGAGAATAGTTTGTACTGTAAATCTTTGTGTGATAATGAAGTAATATATCGAATAGTACGCAGTGAAGTAAATAGTTAATAACTAAGATAATCCTTAAATAGTTAGATAAGCGGAGTATGCAAATATACATATGTATGTATCGGAAGAATGTATGGTTAAGAGCAGGGGTGGACTGGGACGTAAATTTTTACCGGGACATTAACGACATGACCGGCCATCCATTCTTAGTTCATTGATTAAATTTTACGTATAACGGCCCCAAAAACCCGACCGGCCCACCGGGAATTACCCCAAACTGCTCGATGGCTAATCCGTCCCTGGTTGAGAGTGCATGGCAAATAACAATAACAATTACTGTAAATCGAGTATCATTTTTTATGAAAATTATTTGTCTCTTACAACGTTGCAACATTTTACTCATAGAGATTTAACTTATTCTAAACTGTATGTGTGTACATATTTTAAAGAAACACGAATATATAGATAATGAATCTTCATAATAGAATCACCCTGTAAATTAATCGATTTGATCATGCAATGTATTAATCAATATGATCGAATGGTTTATATTACTATGTTTTAACAACAAGTCGTACTTACGTATATCATAAGAATACCTGTAGTATTACACTTGCGATGATGTTACTATTATGTGATATGTTGTTTCAACTACTTAGCCCTCTTGTTTAGTAATTTACTTTTGTTTTCAATTACGATAGTTCAACTTGATAGGATAGGGTTCTATGGCGATATACGAATAATCTTTTTCTTTTAAATATTTAGTCAATTGATAATTTATGACAATTGCAATTTAAGTGCGTATATCACCCTATCAACTAAAAATCAAAGATACCATGAATTTTAATAATATAGCAAGATAACGAAACAACGATTTAATTAATAGAAGGTGAAGTAAAATTTGTATTGCAAACAAAAATTTGCGAAGAATTCTACAAGTACGCGATACTCTGTGACGAGAATTGCGAAATGGAGTGAGTTTCAACAGAATGGCCATATGTTAGAGTCGAAGGATGAAGGTATAAGAACATGAAACGATCAATGGTCCACGAGTCATCGTGCCGTGGAGCCGTGGGTCGAAAAGTCAGGGCCTGTTCAGAGTCAATTTTTCTTAACCAATGAACGCGTCCTCTGAAGGAATTTTAGTTGTTCATTTTCATAAACCATTGATTTTCGCTCATTTGTACATTAAAAATTTCAATGTATCATAATATCTCATAGTATTAGAACTTGATTAATATTTTAAACATTTTTAAACAATAATCTAATCATGGAACGAATTGTGAAAAAAAAATGAAACAAATCATGGAACAACTTGATAACAAGTTACTCGATTTTATTGGTTATCCCTTTGAAGGTTAATTATGAATATTCTCAAAATTATATCGCGTCTTTTTTTAGTTATAAAAAGCATCTTGTGCGATGACATCTATTTCATTGATAGTTTGAATAATTTAGGCTCTTTTTACGATAATTAAATTTAGTAAAAAAAGAATATAGAAAATAATGAACATCTCAGTCAGATGGAAACTAAATCACGTGTATCTTTTTGGGTAATGCATCGCACGTTGACTACCGAAGCACGTACACACATGGACCAGTAAAACTGACGTAATCCTTTGATTCTTCGCTGAATATGCAGGTACACTCATTGCCATGGAACAATTGTTATTTTTGTACTTTCTCCAGCGAAAAGAAAAGCTATAGGTATTGCCCTCTGGCTATTTAGCCGATTCCAACGGCCAAAGTTCGTATATCCGTTCAATGATACGAAACATAAATCTGCATATATGAAAGTTGTGGTTTGCCCGGGGCTATTTTGCCTTTCTTGTACCACCGAAAGAAAATTTTTATCGTATGATCGTCTTCTACTATATTGTTAACCAGTAATCTTAAACTTTTATTTCATATTTTACAATCATACAATACACACAATAATACTATGTTAATATTTATAAATTTCTCACTTATCGCTAATTATTGCATTATTTGCATTCTATAAATTGCAAAAAATAGTTACTTTGTAAAAAAACAAGTAAGATAGACAGAAAGACGGAAGATCAATTGATTATAAATTCTATACAGTACTTTCGATGTCGTCAAAGTAAATAGAGAAAATCTTTTTTTTTCGGATATTTACATGCTTAATTTATTATTTCCTGCGATTTTGTTGATTTTATTGTGTAAGAACCGTAATCTAGCATATACGGCGTTTGAAAAAGAAAGTGTGTTTCGATTAATTCCTTTTTGTACATACTTGTATTTCTGAGGATCTGTTAGTCGATTAAAAGAACAAGTTCGGCCCTCTCAAGCGTAGATATGTAGCGTAACAGAGTGAAGTAGCGGGTATTTATTTTCAAGCTGTGGGGCGGTACGTTTTCATACGACGGTCCTGAATGAGTACGAGTGAAAGTTCGTGAGTTAAATATTTTTTGTAACTTCGTTTTGTAGATTGCTCATACGTATGTACGAGCTTCCTATAAGATAAGTTACAGCACGCTATGTTCGCTTCTTAATGAGGAATAAAGTGTATATAGTTATTTATATATCGTAAGCGCACAAAAATTAATCGTAGAATTGAGAAAAAGAACAAAAAAAAAAGAAAGAAAAAAGAAAGAAAAAATGGAGAAAGCGCACATATCGTTAAATGAATAGAAAAATGATCGTAATGGTTTAAACTACAATTTGAGTCCAAAAAAAAATTACAATTTGAGTTCAAATCGAGATTTGAGAAGAATAAATTCACAATCGAATTTAATGATTACTTAATTAAATGACCCTAATCTAATAAACGTTTATACGTTTTTCTTTATTTCAACTTTATCCCTTCTCTTTTTGAACATGCAAACTAATTGATATTTACCGAATTAGGTAGGTTTGTAGGTTTAATACAAAACTTTTCCGATTATGCAATGTATCTAAGAAATATTAAGTTTCTGACTGGAGCTGCATTCTTCTCCAAACACAGGACTTTTGTAACGTCAATCGACATTCTAGGGTGCACCGTGTAATACCTGAACACCGGGCAGTGAGTTATAGTGACGTGAAAGTTTCCGACTGGAAGAAGCGGAATGCGGAGTGCTGGGCGCTACGGTGTGTACACTGATCCATGGTACTAGCACAGACGAGTACTCGTCTGTGGTACACTAGGTAATTGTATGGCTGATACCATGTTTATTATACATGTTATGCGTACACGGCTACTTCTGGTATATTAGTCCGGCTGACCGATTCCCGTATCGGATACATATTTCATTTCTATGGCTTGATTCATATGATGGTTATATTTTAATATTGTTCTCAAGAAAATAGTTGATTATTTTATGAAGCTTAAAGAGTATAAAAATATAAAGATTACAAGAAATATTAATTAAAGGATAACAAAATTTGTTTTGAAAAATTCGTTGTGTAAATAATTATTGCAAAAATATAATATTATCTTATATTTTCATCAGTCTGTAAAGAATGTCCTATATAACGTAATACTCGTTTCACATTGTCCAATTTCTTACGTGAACATGACGAATGTGAAAGCGACCTTGAAACTTGGGTCATCCATCGCATCAATACTAAGCAGTATGTCCGATAAATATCTAGCTAAAAAAATTTTTATCTGATAGATTCGATCGTGTAGCTAGAATTTCAATGAAAAATTAAGTTGCAATATTAATTTAGTCAAGCTGTAGATAAATGACGAATTAGAATTGGAAATTTCTTCTGTACAGTTTCAACAATCGATGAAATAATACATCGTAATTTTTCATCATAATTTTGTATTATAGATTCAGTGAGTATCAAGAAGAAGGCAAAGAATGATGCTGAAATATTAATGATAATGGAGGAACTTAAGAATGAAAACGCGTGGCTATTAGCCCGCGGGCGATTATTCTAAAAAAGCATGCAACGGTGGTTACTGGCTCTAGATGAACCTGCATCTAATCCATGCGGTAACACCGTCATCAGCCACGAACCATCCGGGTACGAATACATAAATTCGTACGCAATTTATACCCGTATGGCATATTCAATTATTTTTGAAAATCATAGTTGTTTATCTGTATTAATCTTAATAGCTTTTATTGATGGCACCGTTAAAAGTACATACAAGAATGTGATAGTTTTTTAAGACTTCGTGGGAATTTCGTATAGGTGGTACTAGGTTGGATCGTAACAGGGGATGCTGGAACGCGGGAAGTTTTGTTCCAGTGCCGCAATCGCAACGGCCTTGGCAGTTTCAGGTGGGAACCAAACTAGCTCTGACAGTGAAACTACTAAATTGTCTTTATATGCGGCGAATGAGCGATTCACTTGCAATCCTGACAATCTGTACGCGGTACCACGAATTGGTTTACATGAGATAGAATGGTAAATGAAACTTCTTCTTTTATCATTGCAATAATTAATAAATTAACGTTAAATATATAGTAAATAACTTTTTAATTAAATATTTTGAAATACTGATATAAAGGAGAAAAAATTATTCTTCAGGATAGAGGCTGACTCGCTAGAGGCTGATGTTTCGAGATTCGTAGCCGGTTCGTCAACAGTAACAACGACCACAACGCGAAATAATCTAAAAAAATGTTGCCGAACTTCGACCAGTTCCGGTTACTCCAGCCATTCTCCGCCATTGTCGGCTGGTTCATATTCTTGTTACACATCAGCAGTCTCCGGTCAGAGTCTTTTTCGAGGAATACCTTTAACAATGAAGGATCAATTCAGCGGAGGTCTTGCTGTAATTCACGAGAGCGAGTCAATTCCACGTCCTATTTGGCCGACTGCATTTCCCAATCCGCGCGAACTCTATCAGAGCGAAGAAAATCCCGAATATGATAGTAAGCAAATAGATTCTTTTTTTCTTTTAATGTCTTATAAAAACAGTAAAACATGTTGCGGTTTATAATAGCTTTGTACACATGTTACGGATGCAGTTGCGCATATACCTATTCATATTGCGATTGGGATTATGAAAAATCTGCAAGTATATCGGCACACGATGTCCTCCTTGAATTATCTCAAACGCTAAACTCTGTGATAGAAGGCAAAAATGCTATGACACCAGAAGAGATCTTGCACAATATCTCGTATAAGGTGGCCCAAGGAATTGGTTTGAAAGGAGGACTTTATGAGTACGTTTACCATAATTCCTCTTTTTTACCAAGCAAACGATCGTTCTTAAACGACAAGAATTCGTGTCTATTAAGTAGCAATAAAAATTCGTCGTCGAAAATCAATCCAGTAAACTCAAAACTTTACGATAATACACGACACCTTTATCTGCACAATCCATGGTACACTTGCTTATGCACTTGTGAACATACTCACAGAGTTTTGTCGTCTTCTAAAAATGACAAACAAACCAAGACGCACGATGGATCAGAAAACAAAGAAAATCCACCTGTTATACTTTTCATGGATAATCATTGTCAAAGAACAAATTCAGAATTAACACTGCAGAACGATAAAAACACATTTGAGTCGCACGTTTGCAAATGCTTAAATCGTTCAATTGCTCTCGATAAAAAAACGAAAAACATATACTTGAACCGTTGTATTAGAAGTGATACGAAAGAGGCGATCAATATTAATGAAGAAAACAAACAGGACCGGGATAAAGTTATTTCTAACGAACCAGAATACTCTATGGTAAGTGTATGTGAAATACTTCTGACCTATAAATTTAACGCATATTGTATAATCTTTTAACCGACTTCTTTACTCGATGCACAAATCGTTACAAATAGATCTAACTCTTTAGAGATAAAAGCAATTACTGCCATATAATAGATTCATTACCTGATTCACCTGTAATGTATATTCCTTTTTGCACGTAATAACGTTAGGAGCAAATAACAGTATTCACAATGTCAATGTAACCAACGTATCAAGACTGATGTTTCAGCAGTTGGAGTGCAGTGACGGTGATTCATTCAACAAAGGTAGAATCTTCTCATCCAACAGAAATAATTGGGATTATCGTGTGCGAGGATTTGCCGAAGACTTAGATTTCACGCTCGACGTTTCACGAGCGGAACGCTTAGGTCGTGTAATTGCAAAAGCAAAACGAAAACGACAATGGTGCAGAGCTCTGACCGCCTTCTTCGGACTAGTCTTCTTTGTTTTAAGTGTCGTCATTGTTTCCTTATCAGTAACAAAAGGACGTAAAGTATTTGGAAGCATGTAATTCGATTTATAAATCATAACAACTTAATAAGAGTACTTTCGTAACTCTAGTAAAAATACTGACTGACACTTGCTTTATATGCTTTTAGTACCTTATATTGTTAAGCTAAAATAATAGGATCTAAATCCTGTTAGCAATATATGGCTGTGACCATGTTTTCTTATGTATGAATATTAATATGCAATGTATATCCAGATAAAGTAATATTAAGTAATATAACTAAGATAAACGATAAGACATGAAAGTTATATGATTAAAAATTTAGTTAAATGAATAAAGAAAATTAAATTTATAAGAGCTTAGCTGATTTTTCCTTAATAGCATGATTATCTGCATTTTTTAAATTCATTTTTACTTAAAAATAAAATTGTTAAAGATATATTAGGTATTTTAATGAAGGAAACATTGGCTTGGATATAGAACATTATTTTAATTGTTGAAGTCAATCATTGCGCATGTTTTCACGGACGTGAGTATACAGTATACGTATAACACAACTACCGTTAAATAAAATTCGATAATTTGAAATATAGTAAAAAATAATACATACCAAATTTAAGTTTTGATAAAAATATTATTCTTTTATGCATAAAATAATAGAATAAATTGTTATGAATTTAAATATTTAATACTTAATCGTATGATATAAAGGTTATATCCCTCTGTATATTTTCAGATTATCTCAATTATTTACTTGCTCGATTATTTTGAGTAATAGAAAGAAAAATACGTTTGTTTGACTTAAGGTACGAATTCAATTTTTATTTACATTAATGATGTGAAAGTAGCTGTATAGAAAAATATAATTTTTAAGTTAATCAGTAGTTTAGTATATAATAACCTGCATTGTTCCAGATTTTATTCTAAATTGGCTTAAAATGGTATGTATACCATGTGTAGCTATACCAATATTACTCATTATATGGAGATTCTTGATACAGCCATTATTTATAAAATGGTGGCAGTTCAGAAACAAACAAGTAGAATTAACAAATAATGAACAACCCCCGCAACTTGTAAAGGAATGTAAAAATGGAGTTTGTACATTATCATGGACAAAAAATCAAGATGAAAATTCCATGAAAAAGCATTGAAATGAAACTTGTCTGTAAACACAATTATTCCGAATATAATTTATTGTATAATATTAAACTTTATATTTGTTTACAACTTTTTAAATAACCATAAGTATATTATGCATATACATAATATACATCTTGTGCAAAGTATTTATTATATTTAGGATGTTCGTGTTATTACGCGAAATTCATGGGAGATTTAAAAAGTTTGTTCAAATTATTGTGTTACCTATATAAAAGATAATAAAATTTTATCCTCTTCTGCTTTTCTCGCAAATCTATTACTAATAATAATTACTGATACTAATACTAGAAACAAATAGCTCGTCATCTTGTATATCAATAACATATAGTTATATGAAAATGTAATTTTACTTTGTATTCCAACACAGTTATTTATGTATTCTTATGTTGTATTTTCAAGAAAATTGAAGTTTTGTAAGATAATGAAAAAGGGTATTACATTTATTAGTTTAAAATACATTATACATCACTTAACAATACTTAAATATTCATAAAAGTTTAATGTACATTCCGAAGTTCCACTTCAAACATCAGTGTACTATTACCAGGAATAACAGGTGGCGAGCCTTTTGCTCCATACCTATAACAAACATGTAAAACGTAATATGAATAATATATTTAAATTTAGTTCACACATAAATGAATGATACATACGCCATAGCTGGAGGTATTGTGATCTGTCGTTTTCCTCCTACTTTCATTCCCTGAATACCAACATCCCATCCTTTAATTACTTCACCTTTCCCAAGCCTGAATTTAAAACCATCTCCTTGTGTTGTTGCATCAAATTTCTTTCCATTTTTTAAACGACCCACGTAATATACAGAAATCAATTTTCCACTTTTGGCAAGAACACCATTACCGACTTTCAATTCTTTTATTTGCACTCCACCTTCTACTACTCTTGTTTTCTGATCACTTTGGGTATTTATTTCATTTAGTTGCTGTTCCCTTTTATCTTTTTTTTGCTTTGCCTCTTTTCCATTTAGTATTTTCTTTTTTTGTTGTTGTTGTTTATTTCTTTTATCTTTCTGTTGAGGCTTTACTTTCTCTTCCTCTTCCTCTTTATCTTCTTCTTCACCCTCCTCATCCTCATCTTCATCTTCATCTTCATTTAATAGTGATTCTTCATCTCCTTCTTCAGAATCATCAGAATCATTTTCTTCATTCATGCCATCTAGTTCTATATCCTCATCAGAAGATTCTGCTTCAATTTCTTGTTTAAGACGCTTAGTATTTTTTTCATTCTTTAAGGTATCTATAGCTTTTCTTTTTGATTGTTTGTCAACCAACTGTGGTACCTGTTCTTCTTCTTCTTCTTCTTCGCCTTCTACGTCCTCTAGATCATCCAAGTCCAAATCTTCATCAGGTATTAAATAACCAGTTAAATGTACATGACCATGGCCATGACATATAAATGCTATTGTACTTCCCTCATGAAAATTTAAATCAAGTGGTACTTGCCACGTTGAGCTCTTTCTTAAATTGCATAACAAATAACTAGTACCTTCATAGTATAACATCACTTGTACCACACCGTCATCTATAATAAATAAAGTATAAAATGACATACTATTATTATTTAGAAATATAACAAATTTCAATTTTTCAATTACTTATTTAAGATTTGAATAACATGCTAGATTATTATTCAAATTTTAAAACGATTATTTATAAATTTAAATTTAGCATAAGACGAATTTATTAATATTACCGGCTTTTTGAAGATTTAAGCTAGCCATTGATACATGGAATGATTTTTCAACGGTCTGTGTATATCGTTTATTTGGTTCCAGTATTAAACCTAAAAAAAAAAAAGATTATAAAATTATTATTAATATTTATACAAATTCCTTTTCGTAAAATATTGTTTTCATAAGGAGTAACCGTTTTTCGAAACCACATGGCGACACCATTTTAAAACACTTTATACCGGTAAATTTTGGAAAACCATCAGATAATTCTTAACCGTGATTATACTTACCCCAAAACATTTTGTCTGTGTAACTTTTGACTCTTATTCCAGTAAAATGAAATATCAATTATAAAAACTTTCTATTTTTTACATTCAAATACAGATACCAAGTGCCCTTTACGACCTCGCGCCAACTACTAATGAACAACTAAAAGACTTCATACAGCGCCATTACCTACAAATCAATTTCTGTCATGAACTAATTTTTTTTGTAGATTCAACACCATATTTTAATAACAGCGATTAAAACTTGATGGATTTTAGAACATTTTCTTATCCTTGAAATTCTTAACTTAATAAATAACAATTCTTACTGATAATATCACGTTTTCACTCAAATATTTTTACTTAATTTTTGTACTTAAAGTAATATTTCGTAATTTCATTACGATCATATTACAGGCGATACGACATAGAGTTTAGCAACGATTTACAGTTTACAGTCATAGAATCATATGCATTTTTGGCATGGCCTTAAAGAGTGGTCGATAGCACATCTATATCATATATATTTTTAAGTGTAAAATGTTTGACCACGGTCAGGTGTGTTTGACTATTATTGGCAAGACATAGATAGAGTATAATTTATAATATCTTTAGACTGCTTGGAAAATTTATGTTGTGAATTAGCAAAATGATGATGGATTATTTTGTTACAAATAATTCTTTGGCACCTGCGCCAATGGGAATTCAGAGTACTGCTGGTGCCGTACCTGTAAAAAATGATAAAGGTTAGTAATTAAATATTGTAATTAATATTTAACTAACTATAATAATTATCTTCCTCTTTCGTCTAAAAATAGTAACAATAATATAAAGATAAATAGTAACAACAGTTGTTTCTGTGAATTATGTCTTAAGTGTTACAATACCTAAAAAATTTTGTTTGAATTTATAGGTGAACTTTCTATGAAAAAAGTAAAGGTACATCGTTATGTCTCTGGTAAACGACCTGATTATGCACCAGCTGCTAGCTCAGAAGAAGAGTCCGAAGAAGAAGATTTCTTAGAAAGGCGTGTACATAAAAGTTATGAGGAAAATGAAATTTCTATAGATACCCCTACACATTCGCAAGTGAAAATATGTGATGAAGATGATCCACGTATAAGAAGATTGACGCGTTTAGAAAAGCAGAAGGAATCTAATACAGAAATTCGTGCAGAGAGACATAGACACATACATGAACCAGAATTAATTGAAGTTGAGCCTGAAAGAACTCGGGAAAGGATAAAGTTAGAAAGTTCAGATTCGTCAGAAGATGAAGAATTATCAGATTCTGAAATTGAGAGAAGACGCGAAGCATTAAAACAACGGGTTCTATCAAAAAAAGAAAATGAAGAAGAATTAATTCATGGAGAAGAAGATGAGAGGTCGGGTGATACCTCAGAGGAAAGTTCCGAATATGAAGAATATACAGATTCAGAGGAAGAAACTGGACCAAGATTGAAGCCAGTTTTTGTACGTAAGAAAGACAGAATTACGGTAATGGAAAAAGAAAAAGAAGCAATGAAACAAAAACAAGCGGAAATTGAAGCTAAAAAGTTAGCAGAAGAACGGAAACGACAAACATTACGGGTAAATCTAATTATATGACTAGTAAATAAATCAATAACTAATAGTGATTATCTCCTTTATTCTATTTATTACATAGATGGTAGAAGAAGCAATAAGAAAAGAAGCACAAGTAGGTAAAACCACCAGTGAGCATGAAGGAAAACTTGAAGATGTTTGTACAGATGATGAGAATGATGAAGTTGAGTATGAAGCTTGGAAATTGCGAGAATTAAAAAGAATTAAACGTGATCGTGAAGAAAGAGAACAGTATGTATCGTTATTACAATAACAATTATTTGATACATATAAAAATTCTTATAATATTTTTTAAAACATTTCTTATAGACTTGAAAAAGAACGACTTGAAGTTGAACGAATACGTAACATGACAGAAGAAGAGCGGAGACAAGAAGCGCGCTTAAATCCAAAAGTCATTACAAATAAAGCAGCCAAAGGAAAATATAAGTTTCTACAAAAATATTATCATCGTGGAGCTTTCTACTTAGATAAAGAGGATAATATATTCAAGCGAGATTTCTCTGGTGCAACTTTGGAGGATCATTTTGATAAAACGATTTTACCCAAAGTTATGCAAGTGAAAAACTTTGGACGCAGTGGTAGAACTAAATATACTCATCTAGTTGATCAAGATACTACTCAATTTGATTCACCATGGATCTCAGAAACAGCACAAAATTTAAAATTCCACAATAATCAAGCTGCTGGAATGAAGCAAGTATTCGAACGACCATCATTAAAAAAAAGAAAAAATGAAAATTAATCAGGATACGTTAAGAATTTTATATTATATTAGAATTAGCAACATATTGTAAAATTGTTTTATTTAAATCAAATTTTTTTTTATTAATTGGGGCTTTTGAATACCTTAAATATGTAACAATGTATAAATACAACTCTTAGTATATCTTATAATCTTGATTTACTTTTTTACATATCAAGGTTTTTAAAGCATGTTATTTAAACTTATTTGTACTCATGAAAATGTTTTATTTTTCCAACAATAATTACTTTTGAAGGTACCATGATAATATTCGTATCATCAATAACAGTTAATTTCCTGAGAAAAATATTATATAATTGTTAAATAATTCTAACAAAGATGAAGTATTAGTTATTACTAATAATACTCAGGAATTGGCTCTTTTAGAATATATTTGCTAATTTGACTATATTCACTATGTTATATTTGTCTAAATAAAAAATATACATTATCACAAATAATAATAGTTACCTATGGCAAAATATGTTTAGATCGTTAAGTTATTTTTACAAATAACATAGGATTTTTATTACAATTCAAATATATTGACCAGGGTTTAATATCTGCAACTTTCATAAATATAGTTTAAAACTAAGAAATCTAAAATAATACGTTAAATATCCATTTAATGTCATATTGATCAATAAACATTTAAAATAACTTCTAAGATGGTTAAACATTCTGTTACCAAGTATTGCATCACCAAGAAATTCTAATCTCTAATAACATTCAGTAATATTATTCAGTGTATATGAAGGATGTGTAAAGGCCTAAAACATTTAAGTCATTTATTTTAAATTTATGTTTTTCAATTAGGCTAATGTGCGATTTAGTTTTGAGCATTGAAATCTCTGCATTTAATAAAACACATTTTGAACTTGGCTATGTACCTACTGTTGGTAGTTGGTAGCTGGTAATTGGTAGTTAGTAGAGGTTAGTACCAGGTATCTACCAGTTAGTACTTACATTTGTCAGTAAACTAAAAAACTGGCAAACAAGACATTGTATTTGACAGATTCGTAGACAAATCAAGTGATTGACTTTGATATAAAATATGTAAAATTATATTCTGCCATAAATTTGTAACGAATAATAAATTATAAAAGATATGTGACTGAAATTAAAGTGCACTAACCTAACAGGTATTAATTCTGTAATAATATTTGAAAAATATTAAAGATGACTAAAGTTATATAATTTTGTAAAATTTTACACGATATTCTCAATTTGTTTATTACAGGCCTTTTAAATTAGCGAATTTACTTATAAATAACGTTTTAAAGTGATATTGCTTGTATATTATATAAACTCAAACTTCAACTTTAAACTTCAACTTCAGTTATGGCAGCA